AGACCTGTGTCCTTGGCGAATGCCTCCAGACCTGTGGTTTAACAACTTGCGATGCCGACGAGACCTGCGTCAATGACACGTGTTTGGCGAACTGTGGATTGAACCCTCCTTGTGATATTGATGAGCTTTGCGTTGATAATACCGCGTGCCAAGCGATATGCGGTCTCACGACATGTGCCGTCGGCGAATCGTGTCAGCTGGGTGCGTGTGTCAGGACATGCGATGTCGACACTCCTTGCGACGATGGCCTAGTCTGCAGCGCCGATGGCACCTGTGAGCAGGGTTGCGACGACTCCACCGATTGCGCAGGTGGCCTTGTTTGCTTGGATATCTTGGGTATCACCTTGCAATATTGCGGTCCTTGCACTAGTAACCTGCAGTGTACAGGCACAGACAGGTGCATCGCCGGACTATGCCAACAAGGATCAGTCTGCTCTCTGGGTTTCCAATGGGCGTATTACAAGCTCGCTCGATCACCCAGCGACCTCACCACATTGCCGGGGACGATTCCCTTCCACGACGACGACCCCACGACGGATGAGAACTGGCCGCTTTTGCAATTCCAGCCACGAATTGCCCTTACCGCCCAGGCACCCACGGTCACTGGTCTGACGCAGACTCTGGGTATTGACGAGACTTGCCCCCCCGAGGACGCTATCGTCTATGGCATCGACACTGGAAATAGCATTGATTACAGTATCATCCAGCACATCGGATACTTCGTTCCTGCGCAGGCAGGAATATACACTTTCAGTGCCAATGCCCCTGTTCCCGACCAGAGTCTCTACGTTTGGTTCGGCGACATTGCTCGGCTAACCTGGATCAACGCCAACGCAGACCTTATCGCTGATGGAGACTGGACCGTCGGAACCAACACCTACCTGAGGGTCGTTGCTCCGGCAGATGTCGGCACATATATCCCCATCCGCATCCTGTTTGTCAACCCTCAGGATTGCGGTGAGTTCGAGCTCACTGTCCAGGACCCTCTAGGAAATGTCATTGTCTCGCGCGAGGAGCAGACCACGGATGGAGAGTTCGTGAGCAACTGCCCCGCGGCGAACGACATCCTAACATTGGATTTTGCTCCCCTCATCGACATTGGACTTGGCCTTGACGGCCTTGTTGCTAACCTCACTGGCGGATTGACTGGAGGTCTTACCAATCTCACTGGCGGCCTCACCAACCTCACTGGCGGCCTTACCAACCTCACTGGTGGCCTTACCAACCTCACTGGTGGCCTTGGTGGTATCAACCTCACTGGCGATGCGAACCTTGGTGGCGGCGGTGGCATCAACGTCACAGCAGGGGCGGATCTTGGTGGTCTTGGTAATCTCACTGGCGATGTGAACGTTGGCGGCGGTGGCATCAACGTCACAACAGGGGCGGGTCTTGGTGGCCTTGGTACCAATCTGACTGGCGGATTGCTTGGCGGCCTTACCAATCTGACTGGCGGCCTTCTTACCAACCTCACTGGCGGATTGACCGGAGGTGGCAGTTCTTGATTGTTCTTAGGGATACCGAGGCTTTAGCTTCATGATATGTATTATTAGCTTAGGATTACGTGTTGGATATTTCTTTTTTGTGGAATTGAAAGTTTGTAGTGAACCAACCTTTCCTGTGTAAAACAAAAGTGTGCTATTCTTCGGGCGCCAAGATCGCGTCAGTCGCCTAAAAGACGCGGTTTTGGCCATTGTGAATAAGAAATCGCCAACATTGCGCAATTGTAGAAGTTACCAACTATAGTTGGCGGCGTAAGTCCAATACCAGGGATGCCAGAGGGGATATCCTTTGAACTGCCGAGCTGTAATGGAAACCACTGCTCTGTCCAACAAGAGCATGTCTTAATGGTAGGAGAAACGTATCAATCTGATTTCGAAGAGCATGGAGTCTGCAGATGGGCTGTTGTAGAGCTGAGATGTGATTTGAATTATCGCTGTTGGCTTCCTTGTGCGTCAACTTCTCGGCATGCCCAAGTTCAACGCACGACCACTGCTTGGAAATACACCATCGTCGAATTGACAGTGGTAGCTAGAGCGATAATCATGTTGATATTTTTCGTCCAGTTTCTTGCTACTGATAGATATGGAGTTCAAGCGTAGGTATGGTATAGAGGTAGTTGATTTGGGTGATATATCGAGGTGCAAAGCAACTTAAGACAAAGCGCGTTGTGACACGCGGAAAGCAACGCCAGCTGCCAGCAGCTCTTTCCTAGAATGGATAGCCGCATGGCTTCAATTCAGACTCGAATTTGCGTATGACGTCATATGCACTTATTAGATCATTCTAATTCTCTTTACTACTAGGTACCCAGTACACACAAAAATACGTATGCTTCTCTTTCAATTCAGAGGCAGATCTATAAATGCTGTTTCTATTTCCAACATTGGACACATAACCATCACTCAGGCATGATGTATGAGCATGTCGCCCCAGCATCAACCGTAATCGTCGTCCCTGTAATCCATCTCGCCTCATCACTCGCCAGAAACCTCACCGCCGCTGCACAATCCCAAGCATTGCCCTCTGTATTCAACAAACCTTGGTTGCGGCGCATCTCACGTACCTCTTCTGACATGCCATTACCTGCGACCATGGGCGTATAAAGGAATCCTGTGACATGAGTGATCTCCGTCTCAGTACTGGGGCAAACGATGGCTATCGAGTAATGGAGAGAAGACACTTACCTGGACACACACAGTTGACCCGGATCCCTTCTCGTCCGTGATTATACGCCATGCTTCGTGTCATGTTGACTACCGCACCCTTGCTCGTTGGATAGAACAGATGCGGCGTCCCTCCTTGCAGGCCTGCTATAGACCCCATGTTGACAATGTTGCCTCTGATGCCTCCATACCCAGGCTCGTTCTTGAGCATCAACGGAATCGCATATTTGGCCATGAGCATCATCCCCGTCACATTGATGCTCAAGCCCTTGGCCCACTCCTCAGCATTCGCCTCTACAGCCGTTCCCGTTGCGCCCATGATGCCCACATTGTTAACTAGAATATCCAGCCTCCCAAACAAGCCTCCCGCCGTCCGAACTAGCTTCTCACAATCCCCCTCTGTGCTCACGTCCGCGCATAGTGAAGCTGCTGTGCCTCCCTCTTGGACAATCATCTCGACTGTGCGCTTTGCCGCAGCCAAGTCCCGATCCGCGCAGAGCACCGTGGCGCCGTCGCCGGCGAGGAGCAGGGATATGGCACGTCCGTTGCCGAGGCCGTCCCCGAGGCTCCCCGCGCCGGTGACAATGGCGACTTTTCCGTCGAGACGGCGTGACGGCCGCGGGGGCAGCGCGGGAAACGGAGGCATATCGAGAAGAGAGGAGCTTGTGAAGCCGCCCAAGCTCTTGACCAGTTGGATGACTGTTAAGATGACAACCTAGGTGCTGTGATGATGTGCAATTGCACAATACCTGTACCGCTATGAGTTTACTGAAAGGAAATTCCAAGGTGCTCACTTACATTGCAAGCATCAACACTCACAACCCCTCACCAAAATGGAGCCAGCTACCCAAGAACTGGGGTAGGCCATGCAGCTGCAGCGTTGCATCTGCGGGTTGACCAGCCCCAGTGAGGAGGCATTCCAGGCTCTGTTTCCAGTACCTATTGCGGAAATGATGCGATGCTCTGTGTTAGGTATAAAGCAAACTTGTTGCGTTAGTTAAATGTGTAGTCTATAGTCATGCCCTGCGGTCATGCGAGCGAGTCTACCATCGTGGACCCGAATTATATCGCAACCCTGCATCAAAAGGCCTTTTAAATGGGTATCGAGCCTAAGGTACCTAGTAGTATAAACTCGAGGTATTCGCCGAGTACGCTGAAACCTGTAAACCTTCCACGTATATGCTACCTGCCTACCTGTACTGCGACAACTCTCTCAACACCAAAACCTGCAAACTCCGTATGTACACAATTACCATCACGCACTCCAATAAGTAATCAGCAAAAATAGGCACTTTGGCCGAGTATAAATAACCAGGACAACGTATAAACTCTGTATCCAAGCACTTAATGCATAGCTTTCACTACTATGATGATTGAACTTGAGTACGCCGAGGCCTTCAAACTCCCGAGGCTGTACTTTGCTACCTACCTACTATAGGTACCCGCGTACCCGCGTACCTGCCTCTTGTACTGCCACAACTCTCAGCACCACATCTGTCAACCCCGTATGTAGACATCTACCATCACGGTTTTCAAAAACAAACAACAGAAATAGGCACTTTGGCCGAGTGGTCTAAGGCGCCGTGTTCAGGATTTATCTTGCTTCGCGGTCTAGTAATAGGCGAGGGTTCGAATCCCTCAGGTGTCATCTTTTTGGAGATTGCGGCTCCAACACAGAATGTGGTTAATAGTTTTTTTTTCCGGGTTTACCGGTCAATTGTGAGAATTAGGATAAGGACACTGTTCGTGGATTTGTATTTGAATGCATTGCGTTATCACAGCAGTCTGTTGGGCATGGGCGCCAATTCTATCAATGCCAGACAAATAACCAGCCGCTCATGTTATGAAGCCTGTCCGCTCAAAATGAAATGAAAACTAAAAACCAACAGTGGGACCCTCCCCCAAACGCCAAAATCTGCAAATCGAATGTATATACAGCATGTACAGTGGGTGTATGTTGCGATGCGCTTATAACTCGTCTCTATCCAAGCTCGGCAGCCTGAATGCATAGCGTCTGGGGCGCGGAGGCAAACCGACCCAAGCACGGTATACCCTCGTTGTTTCATCCGAGACAATTTCCCAGCTGATAGTTTAGTTAGTCGAGTTCGAACAGGTAATTGTAGTGTTAAAAAAAGGAGACTTACATCATTCTAGGTGTTCGAATCCAACTCTTGAGCACAATCTTGACCGCCTTCATGACACGGGCAAACTCATTTCCCATCTGCTCGCCCACCGTATCACCGTGACTTCCGCGATTACGCATTTTGATAAACTCATTCATGTCTTCGTCAACCTCGTCCACGAGTGTCCAGACATCTTCGGGGCTCTTGAACGTTTGGGACTCAGCCTTGTCGCGCATGTCGATCATGGCTCGGAACTTCCCAACAGCAGAAATCGATGAGCTGAGTCTGGCGTATGTGTTGAAGAGGGCCACCAGCTCAGTTCGCTTGAGGGACGGAGGCTTCTGGCCTTCATTGAATTCGAAAAGCACCTTCAAAGCGGTTCCGTAGCCGTTTGTCTGGATCTTGCCCCAGAGGCGGCACTTGTCGCAACCAACACAATCCATGACTCGGCTGATGTTGCGGAAGCGGTTGCGGAAATCTTCCTTCAGAGAAGGGCCTTCGCCGTTAACAAACATGACACTCTCATCAAAGATTTGAGGGACACTGGCTGCGTGCTGAGTCACAGCAGAGATCTTGTCTCGAGTGTCCTGATCCTGTAGTGGGTCCCCGGTACAGAAGGTGTACTGCGGTCCAAGAACATAGGGGGCCAGCTTCGCAACGGCGCGGGTGACGAGGGCGTAGTTAAAGTACAGGTTGCTGATACGATCGGGGTATCCGTGTAGCCGGCTTTCGTAGCAAGCCAAGTTGGGCTGCCACTCTCCAGTGCTCTGGTTTAAAAAGTCCCAGCATAAGTGTACGCTGATACTGGCGTGCATTCCCGAGACTACTCGGTAAAAGACTCGTTTCTCCAGACACTCATCCTCGCCTTCGTAACCAGTGTTTGCAACGAACGGAATGTTTGGGTTGCTCTGTCGCTGGTGCTCAAGCTGGGCTTGACGGCCGGCTGTATCCAAGACCTGCTTGAAATCCAAGGCAGCAGGGTCGGTTGGCCGATGCGAAACGCCAAGATCGGCGGATTTGGGAAAAGAGCTCTTCTTAAAGCAGTTTTCCAAATAGATGGCGTCCCAGACCTGCTTTGAACTTTGACCACCGTATCCAGTAAACCGCTCCGGGTTTCGCAACAAGCTGACATAGTCTCCCTTGGAGGTCGCGCCTTCGTCGTCCATGACGCAGTAATCCCTGTCGTCGCATTCGTCGTCGTATTCAACCACACAGCTTTCCCCCACATCTTCGCCCAACTCTCCTTGTAGCGGTCGATCGGGGTGTTGCTTCTGCATCTTCTTGCCCGGATGTTTCGCTCTGGGACCCTCCAGCTTGCTAAGCTCGTGAGCCCTCCAGATTTCGGGAATATCCTCTTCATTGTCCAATGTCTCGACGGCGCATGCGATGTTACCGCACATGCCATCTTCGTCATTCCAGAATGGACATGTTTTGTGGAAGAGATTCATGCGATAATGCGAGAAGAAATCGGTCGTGCGAACAAGGTCGTCGACCGCCGGCTTTACTTTTACGTTGAGTCTATCGAGCGTAGCATACGAGACGCATCCATCGTCGATAATGGCGTTGGGAGAAAACTGGAAGAGACAACAGCTGTCAGCGCAAAGCGATCTTGGTAAGAGAGGCGAAATTGGGCTGTCCTACCGGGCAGGAGTCTGTAGAGCTCGAACACGCTCCCGGTGTCGCCCAAAGGGCAAACACTGAGAGAAAAAACAGGTTGCTTGCGGATTTCATTCTGTAACCAGCAGAAGAAACTCTTGGTGCGACAAAGTCTATGGGTTAATACTTGGCCAGAACGATTGGCATCGCTTCACGGAGCGAGGGTCCGAAACGGCTGCCGGATGGAAGATGCGATCCTCCGGGATATTGCGACTTTGACGGCCGATGTAATGTACTTTGATGAAGGGTCCCAATGAATGCGACCCAAGTAACGAGGCAGTAAAAGCGAAAGATGGATTGAAAGAGGCTGTCGGTCCAATGGGTAAAGAAGGTTGATTGAAGCCTATTGACAAGCCACAGCAAGTAAATGCAACTTGTGGCTACAAATGCAACGGTTCCAAGGCTCGCGGCAGGGGGATATGCAAAATCTTATATAGATGAAAGAAAAAAGAAAAGAAGGCACATTCAAAAGAACAAGCACAAGCAGCTGCACCGGAGACTTTACAGTCTTCTTGCTGACATATCATGAGATGTTCCTCAAAGGGGAAAGATGCCACGCTGGCGATCCGGATGCTTAGAAACGGCGTTTTTGCGCTGGAAGAAAAAAATGGCCTCTTTACGGTGCACGGTGTACCAGGTACCACCAGCCTACCGTAGTTTAGTGGTGGCGCGGGGGAAGGAAAAAAAGAGAGACAGGGGCGATTCGGTCACTGGAAGCCGGCCAATGGTGGCTTCAGCAGAATGGCAGTTTGACGCCACCGACGCGAGACAAGAGGAGGGGCCCTTGAAATGTGTCCACAAGGCGAAGATGAAGCCAAAACTCAGGGCATATAGTCCGATAATTGGCCTGCGACGACGCTATTAATAAATTGAAACCTAAGCCTGCAGATTGCATCGCCTACTCCTACATTTTACGAGGCGTCTGGGCTGGTATAAGAGAGGCTGCGCGCCTCTGGTGAGGCCATCCATCATCACAGAATCAGCCCACCCGACCAGCCGAGATTCGGTTGAGACGCCTTCCACTTTGAGCACCTACTGTACACATTCCATTATCACCTACCTTGCTAGTGATACGGCGCATTACTGCTTACCACCACAACTGCTGGTGTCCTCGTGTAAATAGACGCCATCTGCCACTAGGTACTGGGTACTAGGTAGGTAGATTAGATGACTCCATGAGCAAACCTTCTCATCTCTGCATGCCTGCCTACCAGCTTACACGTGTTTTCATGGCGTGACATGGTACGGCAAGGCTTGATCTATGAGGAGGTTCAGACGATCGTTGTTGAAGTAGACACGTAGACAATATGAAAGGGAGCAAAGGGTGTTTGTGAGATGCGCGCTGCTAGGTCGCTGAGCTCTTGCCGAACAGTTCGATCATGATCATCAACAACAACGCATATTCGTTGATAGGTAGGATATATCTAACAATACCACTCTGGCATGCGCATCCCTCTTCCAAGAGACATAGCGCCAAGCAAGGCAATCGGTTCCCACCGTGTTTCCCCAGAATCAGCCGCAGTCAGACCAAAATACTACCAGTATATATGAGTTCCTAGACCATTCTTCAATTCTGCATCAACTACCTCTACACAAGGCTAACCAATCGCCTAATGCGTCCTTCCTGCAGCACTAGCCATCCTCCAAAGTATCAACCCATCTGGCCACCAGCTTACATTCGACTCCAGATACCTATAGGGGATTGAAGAGTTCTTGTCACAAGATATGGAAATCATCGAGACACGCGCGCCAAATCACAGGGTTAATACTCGCAATTTTGATATACACCTCCACATGTCGCTTGTCCAAACTCTGAACCAAGGCTTGCGTGGGGCCCTCAGGTTGCCATAGACAAGCCATTCAAGGCAGAGCGAGGGAGCGCCCGCCAGTCTCGCAGGCTTATTAACCCAACATTATTGCAGTACGCAGACCGTAAAAATCGTAAAGAGACATTCAACAAAGAGACTCTTCGTGTAGCAGGAGTCGGCGCGGAAAAGCCGTAGCTATCGTACACCGCTGAGCGAAGGAGATGTTCGTTCGACGAGCTCACTGAGGAGGTTGGTAGTTGAGGGGTCGCCTTTCCACCGGTTAGACAATGCGGCCCCCGAGTGGCACACGATGAAACAATGGTAAAAACTTACTTGAAAAGAAGAATATGCGGCTCCGGCTCATGGACCTCGTAGTGCTCCCAGCCGAGACTCTAAATGCGGAGAAGAAACTGGTGTCAGCGTAACGCATTCTTCGCTCTCTTATCCCTTTGCCCGCGGGGGATCCAGGATTAAAAAAAAGCTGCCCCTCACCTGTGTCATTCCCATGGCCCTCCACTCGTCCTCCCAGAGAAGTTTCAGTGTGCCCTTGGCGGAATCATGGTACTCCTTTGGAATAGCCTTGAGCATCATCTTTGGTAGCTGGACATGGCGGTACTCGAATTCGCTGTCGTTATATCTGTTGGCCGTTCGACGCCTTAGCTTCCGGTGTCATATCTTCGCAAATGCGCCGTTTGGTGTGTATTTTTCTTCTCCCTCCGAAGTCGATAGCCACTTCCCCCGCAAAGACTCACCTCTCAGAGTACCGAATAGCATCCACAAACTCTTCAAGTCGGGCTCGTTCCGAGTCTGTCAGGGGACGCGGAGTCTTGTTTCGCCGGCTCATGTCGATATCCATTTTGATAGTTTTTAGAGTTTTTCCGGGCTTCTCTAGCACAAATCGTCCACCGCGTAGCGCGACTCTGTTTGTTGACAAGTCGTAAAAGTTAAGCGGTTTCCTTTCGAAGAGATACCACGCAAGGTTTGTCCAATTGTTGAGTAATTCGTCTCGAGATGATGAAACAATTTGGCTTCGACCTCTTTTTGCGGTGAAAGTGGAGGGGAACGAGGTACAGCGTATCAATCAAAGCGGGCGAGAAGCTTCTAGCGGATCGAAAGAACGGCGGAGTCGCGTGGCGCGTGAGTCACGAGCGGCAAGCTGCAAAGGAAGGCGCAACAAGGATGAAAGGGCAAGACTGAATCACGGCCGAACAGAGAGAGAATGCGCACGAGACTTGGGCTGGTGGGTTGCGGGAGGAAGAACGGGGGATAAAATAAACAAATCTAGCGCTTGCGATTGTTCTCGAATCGTGGAAGCCCAAAAATCGACCCCTGGTCCGTGGCCCGCTAATCATGGGTGCCCGCGGCTCCGTTGGCGGTACGGAATACAGGGGGCGGCAAGGTCAGTGTTGACGTATCTGACGGCTGTCGTTTTTTTTTTACTTCTTCATCATTGCTCTCCTTTTTGAAAAGATACTGCGATGGGTGCTGAGATTAGCTGATACGAATTGTGCTATTAGGCAGATGTATACTAATTCATCGATTTATTAACAGCAGTCGAAGATGGATCGTCTTAACCTAATTCTTCTCACAACGTTGTATAGTAAGCACCCCCTAAACTCCATTAGCGCCCAAGCGTCAACGTGGTACCGAGGCCGGAGCACATCCGGATTAACTGCTAAATGAACGGAATTAGCCGACATGCCGTGATGCTCGAAGATCCCTCGAATAATCACTGCTGTACAACGAAATTCCCGATACGCTCAAAGTTTGGTGTTTATGATTGTCTCCTATTGAGTCTATCTGGTAATGCTTTTCGTCGGGCGCAAGATGCGTAAATGGATGCAAACACCCTTCTATATGTTCCGAGTGACCCCAACGCCGTGTGATGCCAATACTCATGTAGATGCTTAGCAGCTATCTATACCAAGAAGCTTACTAATGAAGCAGCTTTTGATACCTTTAGATTAGAGCCCAAAGAGTGATTTTGATAGCCCCTTTGAAGCAGCTGAAGCCGCTCCCGTAGACAGCGGTAGGTGGCTTACGACATTGCCTATCTTTACCTTGACCCCGGGCACCGAAACCTTCCACGACTTGATGGTCTGGAAATCTTCATCTCCAAACGCGTCTAGGGCTTTATTGGACTCTTCATCAACAGGGAGATCAAGTGCCCATCCAATGGATATGTGGAATGCTTCATCAGCAGTGTCCGTCTCCTTGGTCTGGTACAGAATGGGCTGGTTGAACGACTGGACCATGTCGTTGCAAGCACTCAACAGCCGCATAAGCTCTGGATTCGATAGCGCTCCAGTGCTATTCGAAGCTTGCGAGCTTGCTACTTGGAGAACAAGAAATGTGCGATTGGAATCGGGAGATTTATACCACTTTAATCTTTTGGGGCTAACAGAGAACTGGGGCACGGCGCTGGCGTGCAGGGCTGATGAGATCTTATCGAGAAACACGTCCTTGTTAGAGGTGCTGAGGGAAATGGGCCTTGACAGGCTGATGTGGAGAGGCAAGGGCGCTCCCAAATCACTCGTCAGAAAGTTGTGCAGCCTGGCCCGATTGCCAACGTGCTCGTTGACCTTGCATACCAATTGAACCAGCTTCTCATGCTGGTCAGCCAGTGGATGCCCTACACGAGCAGAGAGAGTTAGCTGCTCTGGCCGCGTGTATACGAGCTCAGCCTGGGCCTTGATTGAACTCACACTCAATGTACAGATGGCTGGGCCAGTTACCCACGACGTGAGGAATCAGTCTCTTGCGGCCCTGATGCAGCGCGGGATCATCGACGACGCTGTGGCGGACGGTGGACGCATACAGGTCGTGGAATGCCGAGGGCAAGGGTGGCAGCCCAGATTCGGAGCTGGACGGAGCGCTCGGGGCGTTGGGCTGTGACCCGGAGCCCGGCGAGCGCTTACGCCGCTTGGCCGGCGGTGCCGATGGCGCTTCATCATTTTCACTGTCGGAATGCGATGACGATGATGAGTAGTCGACAAGAGCCATCGGTCAAGGCGGTGATGCTGTCACCAGGAGAGCATTCAATGTTGAAAAATGATCAAGTTGAGGTATTGCACTTCTGCCTGCCAGGTACAGGTACGACTAAGTAGTGAGGTTTTGCGTGTATTGGCTGCTACTGAAAATCGTGCAAGGCAGTACAGATACCGGACCCTTCCAGAATCACCCCTTGCATGTCGTTACATAAGCCGCGCTGCATGAGCTCTCGGTATCACTTATCTTACTTTTTCCAGCGTATCGGTACCAATCAATGCTTTTCTGCTGGGTCCAAAGCAGCCGAAAATAGCGACTGTGAGGCTGACACACTGACGCAGATGAAACGCAACGCATCCAAGCCTCCCGTCGTATTGAAAGAAATTAGGAATTAATATGTCATTTCTGTGTAAGGCGGTCTGTCGAATGCCAGGATCGGGGTGAAAAGCTGAACGAAGACGCAGAGCGCTAACAGTTGCACCTGGGCGCTGACAAGAGACGTGGCGCAAGCCTGGGCCCCTGTGGAAGTGTGTGATCAGCCCCCAACGTCCACATCGATTTGTTTTTCCCCATGTTTTTCTTTTGCTGAAGCAGAGTTCAAACGTCTTCTTTTTTCACACGAAGATAGTGGGTACGAGGGGTCCTCTTTGAGGGTCTTCGGGCTTCTGGCCCGGTATGTTGGAAAAGTAAATGCTTTTATGGCGTAGAAGAAAGTGAAGGAAAAGAAGCTCGAGATAAGGAAGTCGGACAGTGCGAGACCAAGTTTTCTTTTGTTTGGGTACCGGTGCCCGTATTGAGACAGCGAACCGACAAGGGATATGAAAGCAGTAAAGGCCGAACGCACATCCAGTCAGACCTAGCCGTTGCTCATCAGCGACCTTTGGGTATATTTAGCATATTTGCAGAGCTGTGTGATAATTATAACACTTTTTGTCCAATAGCTCTCCTGCGAGGCTCATGTAGTATTTGTCTATCTCCATGCAAGATCAGAACGGGTAGATCGATCTCTTACCGGTCAGGCGCCGGCGACTTAGTCCAGTAGGGTCTCTCGACACTGTATTGCATGGCGTGTGGCTCACACTCATGGCAGCCAACAAGCCCCAATCCAGCTTCCCGCGAATGGAGGCGTCTAGCTCGCCAGCGTCTCCGAATCAAGCCTGTTACACCATTATGATCCGTCATTGTGCGCTGTACTGACTGTAGCGATTCCACATGACAGCTCACCGGCTGAGACAGAGGAACGAAGAAAGAATGGCCAGCTTCTCCGTCAGCTCCGCCCAGCCCAGCTCCAGATCCAAAGGGTCCAGACTGAAGCAGGGCTAGTCTCGTTATGGCGCCTGTCTGCATATTCCGAACACGAGTGAGGGCAAGGGAAGCCGTTGGGAGTCATTCTAGTACTAGGTAGTCAAATAGTGTGCGAGAATGGGTGACGACTACTGCAGGTCGGTCACCTTGAGTCCCTCGACTTACATGGCCGCAGCTTAAGGACCTCGCCACTTTTTCCCGACTGGGTTCCCTACATACTCCGTACCTCGAATTGGTATTACACAAGTGACTTTTTGGGGGGCTTGGTTGGCTGCATGCCCAAAAATCCCGATGACAAAGTACCTTTTCCCCCCTCCAGCAGGCCGCGTGGATGTTTATGTTGGTGAGCCAAAAGCTTCTCGGCCTCGTGGTGGGAACAGGATCCAGGTTAAAAGTCTCCCGCTTCCCCTCTCCCCTCCGTCCTTCGTGTAATCCCGGACAAACCCGTTTTTTGCACATACTCTTCGCAGTGTCGCTGCATTTTGTAGCTACAGAGATTTTTTTGTGCTGCTGCGCCTGTTTTGGTGCTGCGTCTTTGTGGTAGCTTTTACTACATCGCCCTTGGAACTCATTGCGATTGACTATACCGAGTTGTTCAAACGGCTTTTCGTTACTTTCCCGGAGAACTCAAATCGAGCTCAACCTTCAAAAGCCCAAAGCGACTTGACTTTAGAGATTGGATATCCCATACATGGACAAAAACTATAAGGCTTCATCACCTCTGGCAACCGGGAACTTTCATCGAGATAGCGTTCGTCCTCCATAGTTGGCCTTCGACTTAAATATCGGCCTACGCCCTCTTTTTCGGATTCTTCTTGCTACCCTCTTCAACACTCACATCTCACCCGCTAAAACCCTTGTTTACTCTATACGAGTCCAACTGTCATCTTCTGCGCCTCTCTCTCTCTCTGTCTTGCAAAGTGCAGATTCCAAAAATCGGCGTCATCGCTATCCGAGCATCCGCATCGAGCAGACCTCAAAACAACTACGGAGCCACTAGCTGCGATATTTCATATTCAGCACAACATAAATCCGTCAAAATGTACGACAGCGACGGCATAGATAAAGACTGGGTAAGTGTGCGCTGCATTTGCAATCTTTCATTTCATCTCCCCTACCTACTATGCACTTTCATTTTGGCAATCCCCGTCATCTTCTCTCATCACCATTTATCTTCTTCATCCGCGCTCCCGGTGGGTTTTCGTCGTCACCTGCAGGCGATCCCCGCCGATCGCAAGGGTGCTGGAGCGAACCCTGAAATGCAGGGATTCAGGATCCCACATGGCCACCACATGTTGCGCTGCGTTGCGTTTCCTTGCGTCACCAATTCGGCTTCAGCGGATCGGTGGGCAGAGCTCAAGTAGGCCGGCAGATCGGACGATTCGCTGTTTAGATTTTCTTGCTTCAATGCCGAGTTTGATTGCGACAGCATCATCTCATCCACCGATAGCTTCAATGTTGTCATTGGCTCTTTTCCAAACCTGTCTGGTTTCGTAGATCAGGCCGTCTGCGTTTATCGCCTTGTGCGACTGGCCGGACCAACATTGAACCTTGTCAGCCATTTCGTCATTCCCCACTTACCACCTCATTCATACTCGTATATACTTTCTGGTTGCCCGTTCTTATCTTCATTTCTGCTTTCTTTTTCATTACATGAACACTTTTGAATTCATTGAAATTGAACGCAACTAACATTACCCGATTCTAGGCTCGCAAGTACATCTTGGACCCTCTAACTGCTCCTGAGCCCAGCGAAGAAACTGGTCTTGGATCCCCTCACTACAACCCGCACCGCATCTCGCTGCAGGCTCTACCATCTCACACCCGCCAGCGACCAGCAAGCCCAGCTTCAAGCTCAAGCTCATTTTCAGATCTTGGCGATAGAGCTGCAGCCTCTTATCCTACACCTCCTTCTACAGGCAACCCCGAGCACAAATTCAGCCAAAGAAAACGGCTGCCGCCTCCACCCTCAGCGAATCACACGGCTCAACACAGTGTCGACAGCCACTGCCGTCCAATGATGCGGAATCTCAACGCAGCCACCCCGGAAGGGAATTTCCATCCGACAAATCCGTTTGCCTCTTCTCCGCAGCCGTCTAATGGCAAAGTTTTCGGGAAGCAGGCCTCTATGAACCCGCATAACCGCAGTAACTCAGACTTAGGCCACCATAGCCAGCCTGGAGCTCACAAACACAGCCACCGCCGTCCTCGTACTCAGTCTCTTGGCGAGCGCTTCCCCGGAGACATGTCGCATCGTCCTCTGGATATTATTATCAATGATACCCGCGCTGCTGACCGTCAACGCCGTCACCGACCTCGCGTTTCTGAAACCGACGTCATCGATGCTCTCGACACAATCGGCGGCATGTATCACCACGGCGGGCCATACGATGCCACCCTTCGGAGCCGAAACCTTGACCCCAGAACCTCGCCGGTTGCTGCGGTGCAAGAGTCAAACATGGAGGCCTTGCGAGCTACACCTCGGGAATACGTCATGGACAGCCTCCGGCATCACGTTCCTCTCCAGGGTACTTCAACCATCCCCTCTGGAGAATATGACTATCGCGGGTCTCGGATGAGTTATGAAGAAGGCGCCGATCTCATGAGGGAACCAGATGCTCCTGGTGGCCCGTACAAGCGTTATGCGGACACTGTAACCTCATCCTCACCCTCCACTTCCTCCACCTCGGTGCGAGGACATTTTCGGAGATGCTTACTCAATTGCAGAAATATCATCCGGACGATCTCAAAGGAAAAGGAGAGCCGTCCTACTCGCTTGAGCGGGCGCTAAAGGAGAAGAAGCGTGCCAAGAACGGAGAGCCCGACGAGATTGAGATGCAGTCCGGCTTGCGCAGTCGCAACCCTCATTCTAAATCCAAGCATCAGCGTAGCATGACTGTTGCGCTGCGTGGAAGCTCTTCGGCCACTGGCAATGCTTACAATGACTCCGAGCTTGGGCGTCGCAACTCGACTGGCAAGAAAATAAGTGACAGTTTGAAGCGACGATGGGGCAGCATTCGCGGTAGGAAGTGATGCTACTCTCTACAAGACAAATTTTCGGACTGGATCCGAGTATGTGATCGATTATCTTTCCTATTGTTTTTTTTTTTTCTTTTGGTGGGATGCATTCTATTTTTCATTGGTTGTTTTGGTGTTCCGGCACTGGCACGGTGTTTTTCTTGAACGGATTTCTCCCTGATCGATGGCTTTCATCTTTCAATGGATAGCCTTCTTTCTTGTGGGCGTTCTGTTTCATTGTTTGGATTTATTTCTTAGGAACGGATTCTATGTGCAAATGACTGGGATATGATGGGAATTAGAACAAGGTGGCAATCTTCTGCTTCGATTTGTTCTCCTACACCAAGGAGATGGCGTCACAGGTTTTTTGGTGGGATGGGCTATAGAACTGGATGGCCACGGAGACAGTCAAATGTCAGCAAGTATTTTGGGATTCTTTTTGTGTGATATTCGGGAGGGAGCAAAAAGTATCGCTTCTTGTTCTCTCGGCAGATTGTGCAAATATCCGGAATAGATACCCTCACATATGGCAACGGGCAGTTACTACGGGCTCCCTTCTATTTTGTCAACTTTTAGTTAGATTGGTCACCAAAATTGATAGTTGTTGTACGATATCCTTGCTACGCACAGAATACGTGAGCTTGTAACACCCTATTCGCCAGTAATACTATATTTTCCGAGTGAGCATTGTGACATGTATGCTAGCTACTGTACCCCTATCCATAACGATCCTACTATACTATGAATCGAGCAAGAATTCCTCTACGCGCGTCTAACCTCTTTGTGAACTAATATATGTAGATATATATAACGAAATCATTCATCCTAAATATACGCAAGTCCACTCCATCCCAACACAGCTTCCAGATCCTCTCTCATCTCCATGATGCCATCATATCCACCCCTGGTGGCAACCTCAGCCCTCTTGGCGGCGCCGAGCTCATTCCACCGAGCCAAGATGGCGCCGTCTACGATTGCGCGGCCAGACGCAGCAGTTTCGACTCCAACTGTGCGAGACATGCCGCCTCCGCCCTCCGGAGTGCGGTGCGCTCTGGCGTGGAGGCCGCCGTGGGGCGTGAGGGCCGGTAGGAGCTGGTTTGTGACGGAGAGGAGCCGCCGGTAGGCTGACTCGGGGAGGGGCGTTAGAGCGGCTAGGGAGCCTGAGGGGGATGCGAGGAGGAGCAAGTGCGGTTGAGAAGATGACGAGTCTGGAGATGTAGTCGTGGAATGAGATGCGGGGAGGGTGCGTGGTAAGAGGAGAGTCGAGGTTGGGGGGTTAGGGGTCACGCTGAATGTAGTTCGGTGAAGTAACAGGTGGCCTTGGAGAGATTTGGGGTCTAAAAGAAATGTTAGTACTGAGAATCCAGTGATATTAGCCGCAATATGGACCGGCAAAAGAGACTTACGCTCTGGATTGAACTCTAGAACATGAATATCCCCATCCGCATCCACAGCAACCATTGACAAATCTTCTCCGTCTGGGAGGAAGTCTGCCGTCAGCAGGGGTAGCGACCCGCTACTCTTGCCGAGTACCTTGAATGTGTATGGCTCCTCCGTATAGCCAGCGAACCACAGACCCTTAAATGCGTCCGCAATCAGGCAGAGGCCGGTGCCTGGTAATTCCCGTGCCGTGGATACATGACAGCTCATATCTAGAAAGGCCACAGGAAGCAGCGAGCCATCTTCCTTAAGACCACGCACCATACACTTCTGGCCTTGCGCCACCAGCATAAGCCCCTGAGTGCCAATCTCGGACAAGGCCGTCACGCCGCCACGGGGAATTTCCTCTTTGGCTAGGAGCTTGAGCCTCTTATTCGTTTCTGGCTTCCCAGGCTCTGGAATGACGGTAACGATGTCGTACACTTGCACGCGGCCTCTAGTGGGCAGATCTTCTCCTCTTGTCAAGGCAGTGCCTACTGCTAGCAGCATTCTCCGCTCTTTGGTCTCTTCAGACACTTCGAGATGCAGTGTCTTCATACATTCAATCGACTCTCCGGGCTCCATGTCGATCGAGTGAATGACGGTCCACGTGATGGGGTTGATTAGTTTAAGAGCCCCTCTGGCCATCGAAGGCAAGAAAGAGAGCGACTCTCGGGCCCACTCCTTATGATAGTCATCATCCTTTGGCAACTCAAAATTTTCGGTGATGGTGCAGCCCGCGATGTACATCTCGGTGGGATGGTGGTAAGCAACATGACGAACATCGTGACCCAATGGAACCTTTTTGACCGAGACACCCAGCTCTGTAAAGTTGGTTTTGCTCGGGAGCTGCGTCACTCTAGCTATGCCTTCAGAGTCGGCGTAAATGAATCCCCTGTCGCAGCCTTCAGTGTGGAAAGTGCTCATGCCCCGTACCCCAAGGCCTTGCAGACCAACCACTCTCGGAATACTTTTGCTGCTCTTGACGATGAACGCCGGCGATGGACCGGGAAGGAACACGGCGCTGTAGCCACCCACATTCGCGCAGGTTCTCAGAGGCACGTAGCGCGGCGGTTGCACCGTGTCGTCCGATGGGTCCTCGACGGCACTCTTGGCCAAAGTAGAATTTGCCGATTTTTTAAAGAAGAGCGTGTCTGATAAGGTGTGAGCAGCTGAAGTTGTAGGTAGGCGGATTGGCTCATATATGGTAAGATCATCAGTGGAGTGTCGTAACTGGAGAGTCTTATTGTTAGCTGACTATCGACGATCGATTAGAGAATCATGAGGCATACTATTAAGTAAGGTGAAGAGTGGACCGAATCTCCAAGGTCTGCCACGACGATCTCCGTGAGACTTTCTCGCGTGGCACCTCTTCTGGCCACAAATCCGGCTGAAAGATGAGGAGGTATTGATGAAAGTCCCTCGGCGATATAAACAGGCTTTGAAAGATCCGGTAGTGCGTATATCTGTCATGGTTAGCCCGCCGAGATAATAATTATGGCTTCGTTAGACAGGACAACTCACATGCAAGGCCCCTGCTGAGTTGAGCAAGAACATCATGGCTTCCTCGCTTGGCTTCCTAGCTGCGCCATCGAGGCTTGACTGAAAGACGCCCTTGGTGTCTTTATACAGACATCCAGCTACCCATTTTGTTGATGTAAGGCCACTGTCTGCCTTTTCCACCTCCTCAATCTCATTGTTGCTATCAATTTGTGCGAGGAACACGCTGCCGTCGTCGCGGATAATGAGCAAATACGGGTCCACGATACTTGCACTCACAGCGCGCGGCTCTGCACCTGTTTCTTCATCCAGCATAGGCAAAATCTGGATCAACCCCAGATCTAGAAAAACACTTAGTATCGGCATGGCCATAATCGGTAACAAGAAACTTACCACCGTTGTAACATCGCACTTCCGACTTGAGCACTTGAATAACCACCATTTGCTTTCCCATTGTGCCAGCTTCCACTGTAAATCCAGCAGCAGGCTCAAACTCGGTCTCCTTCAAGGTCTCAAAGCCCGCTGCCGTCAGGGCATACACGTCAGAGGTTTCGTAGCCATCCAAGTCGACCTTGGCAACAATCATGAATTTGTCGTGTTGTATAGGTGTGTCGTAGTCGCCAGCCACCCCAGCATTCGTACCCAATGACTTGGGAACTGGCTTCTTAACACACATTGTCCAGAACCCTCTCGCTTCTGGAAACTCAAACCGGCCGATGACTCTGGGCTGGATCTCGCGGTTGATGATTGCAAGGGAGCCTGCCCCTCCACGCCCGACAGCACAGGCAAGCTGCAGATCAGCTGAGACACCTTTGTTCAAGGTGGCCTCCTCGCCGTCTGGAAAGGCGGCCTGTCCGCATGTAATATCTTGTATCGGTGCGATGCTAAGTAGCACATCGTGTATTCGAAAACTCAAATCTCCAGATTTGGCTGGGCCTCCATTTGTCGTTTGGGGCTTGACCGCAGCGGAATCATCGCCATAGAGGTCATCATCCTCTTCATCATCCTCCAAGTCGAGCTCGTCCACTTCCAAAGCCAGATCTGGATCTATGAGCCGAGATTTCCTACGCTTTTCCTGTGTCTGTCTTCTCGACCATCCTAATACGATGGAGTCGCTAGTTTCGCTCCCGATGAAGAATGCGTTTTTCCCCAGTCGGGAAATACACGCAACTCTGCTCTGGATTACATTGCCGCCGCAATCTGCGCCCACCAGCCTGACACTGAGCCCTGACACTGTTCGTCCGTCAATTTTGAACGAAATTATGCCTAATCGGCCATCACTTAGTATTAAAAGTAGCTCGCCATTTTCAACAGCAAGTAGCTCGATGGCACAGTTCTCAAGGCGCAGATTTAAGTCTGCTTGATCAGTCAGACTAAAGGACGTCGCCAGCTTGGCCATAGGATTGACGGCCACGCCATTTGGCCTTCCAGATTGGTCAACATGAATCAATTCGTTCTGACCAACTAACAAGGCGCCACCGACAGGAGCAGGCAGAGCGATAACTTTGTAAAGGTCATGAGGCAGGCCAGTCACTGATAAGATGGTCGTAGAGGCTCTCTGCTGGAGGTCCAAAGTAAAGACCTTATACGACAAATGATCCTTCGAGCCCAGGGAAGCAGCAGGCGCTTGGCTAGAGGACAAGACACCGAACGTGGGCTCGCGATACTCATGCAGAAAGGTGAGGTGCACGGGGTGAAGCAGGCTCGGGTCTAGGAGGGGCAGACGCAAGACAAATGACGGGGTATATGCTGCTTCTACACTGTCGCTATCTCCGTTGACGGCTGCTGCTTGTTCCTTGACAGGTCGAGGTCCGTCTAGGTCCTCGTCCCAGTCCTCCATCTCCAGGTCTTCTTCGGAGCGCCTGAAGGGCAGAATGGCGAGGTTTCGGGTGCCGAATTTGAAGGCGGCACATCTACTGCCGGGATCTGCCTCGAGGTGGTTGACATACTCCCCAAACACCTCCTCCCATGGCGCTCCTTGCAGCTCATCTTTCTCATAGTAGTGGATAGAAATCGTCTCGAGCTCGTTCTTCTTCGGGTCCCACTCTGCCAGACACATCTTAGCCGCCTTGTACGCAAGCAACAAAACCTCGCCTCCTGATGCTGTCTTGCTTGTTTTTAATCTTGCCAGCCCAATTACTGTTCCCGCAAGCGGAATCTCTGCAATGAGCACGAGCTTGGTGTTGTTCGTCCGATCGGTTCGCATAAACATGGACTCGCCGCCGAGAAAGGAGGATTCGAGGCCATCGTCATCGTTTACTTGACGGTCAAATCGGTTATCACCTTCTGCCGGCTGATTGGGCTGGAATTCGGGGTCGAGCTCGGCAGAGATGCTCTTGACGGTAAAGATCTGGAGCAGCGAGCCTTTCGCAACGACCAGGTTGTTGGCGGTTGCAGAAGTCAGAGGCAGACTCAGGCTGTGGGTAACGGCTGTGGGAGCCGTGAGCTCAGTGTAGACCTGCATAGCTGCAAGAGCATTGCCTCCGCCGTCTCACGAGCGCGATTGGGCGATGCTGCTAGCGATTGAGAGAGTCAAGGCGTCGCAAAACAATTTCCTTGAGGTGGGTATTGATGTTTTGTCCGGGGAGCTGCTGCACTCAGGCCGGCAGTGGGCTAGCGGCCATCGATAGCGGATCAACGCGCTGCCGTGCCGGGCCACTGACATTGAGCTTGCCAAAGGATTTGTACCTGCTGGCAGTATTAAATACCTACAACCAGAGCACAATACAGGACTCCACTCATGTATTGGGTACGCTAAGCTTCTTAGACTGCCTCTGTAGCTGCTCCTGTGGAGAGTCAACCCCAGCTCCAATCCAGGCACCGAATGTACCTGAAGCTCTAGAACAGGGAATGTAACGCTGGGTGAGACAACTGGTGATGCCCCCATTGCGTCACAATCCAGCCAAAGACAACAATCGCCACGCGTTCCCAAAGAAACAACATTGAACCGATTACAACAACCCAACAGCCCAGCTGGACAAATGCTGTATAACGAATCTTGTCCTTTATCTACAAGACACACAGTATAGCACTGCTAACGACTGAACCCACCTGTTGCCCGTCATGGCCGCGGGCTTCGTCCAAGCCGGTCTCATCTGGCTAGCTTACGCAGTTGTCGTTTTGCTATGTCTCGGCGCCGCGATTATCACGACTTTCACATGGCAGACTCCCATCGACCGTTCGGCGATGGTGAGCATCGTCGCCATCGTCAGTCTCACATCCCTTCTCGCGACTGTCTTGCTTCTTCCTGTCGACATCGCTCTCGTCTCGTCTACCGGATCCTCAGCTCTAGGCGTCAAGAAGGATTGGGCCACGCCAAAGCGAGTCGCAGATATTCTCCTGACTCTCAAAATCGTCTACTATTCGCTTTACAGCTTCGATGCCCTACTGTGCCTCTTGGTCATCCCCTTTGCATATTTCTGGTATGAGGAGTACGATGAAGTCGCCTTTGAGGAGGAGGGCCGTACATGGAAGAGCCGGTTTTGGGCCGCCACCAAGTATACACTATTTTTCGTTGCTCTCACCGTCGTACTCTTCATTCTGGGATTTTTTGTTCCTGCAGCCGGTGGCAACAAGGGCCATTGGGATCTGGACTATTACAAGTCGCTACTGTCTCAGAACCATGGAGAAAAGGCCCTTACCTTTGCCCTTGGCCTTTTGGTGACTCTCGGCACGTTCCTCTACGTCGTTTATACCAGCGCTGGGCTTGCTCTTTTGCCCATTTCCTTCATCAAATCAGCTCCCCCAATCTCGGCTCCACAGCTCTCAGCAACAACAGCTTCTCAGCTTGAACAAAACCGAGAGCGCCAGCATCAGCTTGAGCTGCGCAATGCCGGCCGTGAAGAGGGCATGTCCCGAAAGGATAGGCGGGAACTAGATGCTCTAATCAGGGAGGAGCAAACTCTGGTTCGGCGCGAACGCCTTGCCGCCGAGGCCCAAGGCGAGGGCAAAAGCCGAGTCTATCAGATTTGGCTCAAACTATGTGCGCTGTTTAGACCAGTCAAGATGCTTGGCGGGATTCTGCTGTTGATATTTGCCGTTGTCATTTGGGTGTCCATGTTCATCACAGGTATCGATAAGGCAAAGAATTCCGTCTGCAAGCAACGATGCGGATACATTCTCGGTCAAGTTCGCGTTTTCCAGCCGATGAATTGGATATTCTTGCAGGCCGCGAAGGCGTTCCCCGTCGACTACGTTTTGATGGCTTTACTGGTCCTTCTTCTCTTCAGCAGTTCCATTTCCGGTATTGCCGTGGTTGGAATACGCTTCCTCTGGATCCGCATCTTTCAGATTCGAAGAGGTAGAACAGCCCCGCAAGCCCTCCTCATCGCAACAGTCATGCTCTCACTCATCACTCTGGCCATCAATTACGCAGTCGCTATGTTTGTAGCTCCTCAGTATTCCTTTTACGGGACGCAAACATTTTGTACGAATGAGCCCGCATATCCCGGTGCTCAGCCGGACTGCAGGAACCATCCTGAGTTGGTTCAACCTTGCTCTGATACTCTTGAGTATAAGCACGCCAAAGATGTTTGTACTCCATCTATGATGTCGACTCTCCTGAATCGTATCACCATCACATGGCCACTCTTTGGCATTATTGATTTCTGGGCTCAATACTTTTTCATGGCTATATTCTTCATTGTCTTTATTACGGCGCTGGTACGTGCCCCAAGAGTCAATGTCGCCGAAATCGATGAGTTTGCCGAAGCCGACGAAGAGGAAAGCCTGCTCGCCTCAACCAGCCGTCGATTCGATGCGACGTGGCAAGATGTCAGGGGCCAACCGAGAGGGACAAGGAACGGGCCGCAGCTGATTCGAGGTTCACGACCACAAATTGGTTAATCATGTCAAAGACAACATACTGACTCCCTTTTTCTCTTCCCCCTTTTGAAGTTGAGAAATGTTTGGTGAATTGGTTTGGTTATTCAGATTGTTTTTTTGAGGAACAAGGACCGGAATTCGGATTATGACATAGTTTGGGAGTTTGGAGTCAACATCGTTAAGCGCACTCTCTCTATTGCTCATTTTTCATATGATGGAGAGGCGTACACACAACGCCGGGATTAAGTAGCACACATGGAAATTATAGGTGCAGGCATTTTTGACTATGTTTTTTTCTTTTCTTTTTATCTTATTTTAGGAAAATATCAAGCTCCTAGCGCTACCCGTTGTTTGTCTTTCTTCTTCGCTTTAGTGAACTGGACAGCCTTATGGCTTCTGTCGTCAAAGGCAGCCGCCGGTCCAATATGCATCTCCCTCCAGCATCGCGTACAATAAGGATCACCGTCACATCCTATACATCGTAGCGTAGCATCGTTAAGACAGACGGTGCACCAGCCGTCGATGTCGTCATCCGTGTAATCCGTTTTGCTGGTAAGACGTTTGACGGGCTTATCGCCCGCGGACGGCTTTGAACTAGGAACAGAAGGGAGTGAGAAGGAGTCTTCGGTAGAGGGAGCTTTGAGCGCGGCCATGCGAGCTGTGATATCATTCATGTTGGCCGGGCGTTGAGGAGCAAAGTTTGGGAGATCCGCGAGATTAGAAGGGAGCGAAGGGAGGGCGAGATCTGCGTCTCCCCCATCGTTTCCGTCTCCATCTTCGTCTTGATCTTGTTTTTCAGAGTCTGCTTCATCGTCGTGATTCCCGAGAGCAGCCTCTAGCTCTATTTCATCTTTGAACTGGGCGATGATGTCCTTCACTTTACTTTGCATGTGCTCGCCGTCTGAATCGTCTGAGTCATTGCCCTTGTTCTCGGTTTCATCTCCGCCTGCGTCATCTTTCGGTACAGACAGTGATAGATTTTCCAAGAGGGCTTTGACCTGCTCATCGCTAGGCTCTTCCACAGGGTTGTCATTGAGGCTGACATCATTGAGCAGCTCTTCCAGAGTCTGATCATCTGTCGAGAACATCAGGTCCACATCATCGCCATCCCCCGACCCTGCTGATTTCGACGTAGACACAACATCTTTCGCTTTAGCCGGATGTGACCCCGATGTTGCTGAGGAGGCTGCAGGGACAACCTTCTCCGTCTTCGGTGAGGCTGAGCCATCATCCCGCTCTCGCAACGACTTTAGCCGAGCAGCGAGGGTGTCTTCTCGGGTGGCTGGTTTTGATCTCTCAATCAGGTCTACGTCGAACCTGCAGCTGTTTTAGCGACGATTCTGGCTCTGAACTCTTGTTTGTCCAGGGATACAATGAGCGGATGGTTTCTCGTACTTTATGGGAGCTGCTTGACCGGGCGATGCGCCGGAGCTTGAACCCCGCAACGCTTGTAGCCGTTCCAGCAGCGAGTTGTCTAAATCTTCAGGCATTGTGTGAATATAATTGATGTGAAGTAACTCATTAACTCGGATGTTTATGGAGGAATTCAGTGAGTCGCATCACACAACTCTCAGGCCGATTATCATGCGCATTCATGTTCATGTGAGAGGATCTGGTGAAAGCATGATCAATTCGCACGGCGCGCCAAAGTCACGCGCCAAGCTGGCTTTACTTAAGCAGTCTTCCATTTGCTCTCAGCCTCGCCTTGCTTGACATTGATCCATCACCATCTGCCTTTTTATGATACATCTTCAACTGTGGGACAATTTTTTAAATCGCAGTCATGAAATAATTCGAAATCAACAACCTGTAGAATTAAATTTCACTTCGTGCATATCAAAAAGAGTCTCTCCACACAGCGCAAAAAGTTCCAATCAAAAAGTGTCGGTATAAAACAGCCCGTAAAAAAGCCTTGCACCCATTTCGGTGATTTGGCGTTGCCAAGAGCTTCAAAGCGTCACCATCGCCAGTAGATTCCGCAGCAGGATCGCTAATGCAGTGTGATTCGACGTAATAAGCAATCGCCGAACTGGTCCGGCAATATGGAACGTGGAACCTTACTGGCAAGAATATGGCCGTCACCCAACCTACCAGGAAACCTCGGAGTATCTGATGATATCATCTTGCCACCTACTGTATTTGTACCCAAGACTGCATCATCATGATTCTAGAACACCTTCGTCGCGCGCATTGCCTCTCTTAGTGACATGGGCAAATGCGATTGTTGGTCGTCGCCCTGCAGAAAAGTACAGATTGAAAAAGCACTGCCACTTTTAAAATATTAGATATGCAATTACAATTACTACATCCGCACTAAAAAAGCCCGCTCTGCTATTCCACATGATGCAAGCCCCAGTAAGCTCGTCGAGAAGATAGCCCGAAGTCTAATAATCACTGCCCAACAGACCATAATTCCAAATGATTCCTCTCTATTGGTAGCCGTGTATCATCTACCTCTAGAGGCGGGTAAAAAAACCAGAAGAAGCGCCAAACCCGTATCACCGCCAACATTTTTTTGGCAACTCGTCGTAAAACATGATGGTATCGATCGTAAAAAAAAAAGTGAAAGCATACACGTAGACATGAAAGGTAAAGAGCACACCTCAAGCTCTAGAAAACGTAGTTGTAGAAAGAGAGGCCATCGAAGACCTAGGTTTTCATCTCTTATGCGAGGAAGACGGTGACGAGGACCGCAGCAACAACGGGCCAGAAGCCGAACATCTCAGCAGCGTTTCTCAGACCAGTCGCGCTCGAATCTGGGCCGTCGGCTGTTGTACCATTTGGAAGGCTGCCATTGATGAGAAGGGTCGTTGTGCCATTGACGTCGGCAACGTTAACAACGCTCTTGTTGAGAGCGCCGTAGCTGCCATTTCCGATAAGGCTGTCATAGTACGCCGTGTTATTGTTGTCATCGCAACTGCAAACATCGTACGTGCCACATCCGCAGAGAACATCTCGCGTCTCGTTACGACCGCTCGACTCATTGTGGAAGTGGTACGGTTGGTGATAGGGGTACATCCACGCGCCGTACAGCCAGATTCCGGGCCAGACGGCGAGAGCAGCAGCACCTCCAAGGAGAGCAATCGGGACAATGCCACTTGGGCTTGTGCCGCCGGCACGGTAGGGAGTTGTCGCACCACCGCCATAGTATCGGCCACCGCCGTATGCCGGCTTGGGGCCGCTTCCACCCACAGATGTGCCTCCGACGTTGGAGGTTGGGGCTCGGTTTCCACTGGTTTTCTTGTTAGGTCGCCGATGCGATCGGTTTGATGGGGAGGATGGACGAGGCTTCGGATGGACGAAGACCGGGTCCTAGGGCCGAACATACGAGCTTCCGCCTCTGCTTCCACTGCTGCCACTTCCACTGCTGCCGCCGCTGCCACTGCTACCACCAGAACTGCCACCCTTGCCGCCGCTGCTGCCTCCGCTGCTGCCGCCTCCTCTACCTCCTCCGCCGCCGCCGCCCTTGCGCTTGTACAGATCGTGCTCCTCTGACTGTGCGATGCCCTCAACTCTCACCACATGCCGGGAGCCATCGATGGCGCTGGCAGTCACAGTGGTGACGAGCGTGACGAACAGGAGCGTGAAATCGATTCTCATGGTGAACTCGTAAGATGAAAGCGATGCTGGTGGCTATACGAATATGCAAACACGCAGCTGTGCGAGAATAAGAAAAGCTAGAGAAGATGAGCACAGATCCGAGATTTGCCTGTAGACCGCGACCAGGTATATAAGACAATCTGGATGGACGCAGTTGCACTAAAAACTTGAACTACCTTAGCCTGGGACAGGGACAAAGAAGGAAAGCCCTGGGCGTTTGGGGCTTGATCATAGAAGGGGCTGGCGGCGAAACAGGTACTTACCATGTAGTGTTCAGCAGGTACAAAGAGCCTTGGCCTTTTCGTGCGACAAACTCCTACCCAATACGCTCCGCGAAAAGTACCTCATTTGACACGGGCTGAAGTGTTTGGAGCGGATCCGCTCGGGATGCGCTGAATACGCTACCCATTCAGCCATTCAATCATTACTCATGCTAGCTATTTTACCCTGCCACACAGCCATCACCAAACGTGGGATGCTCTCTGGGTCATCAGAGCGTCAAATTTGTCATGGTTCCTCCGTGATCCGCACGCGACCGCTTTGTTGCTTTTTTGCGCTGTGCGCTGCGGGTTGACCGACTGACGGCGCGAAGCAACTTGAAGAGACTGCTTCTAAACCCGCGGATTCGGATTTCCATGGCCAACTATTCGAACGTAAAGCCGTACATATACCACGGTAGGGAGAGCGCAATGCCTCTCAGACATCAGGGTACGGAGTGTCGGCCTCGGTCATCACTCCACAGCGTAATTATCAACGGTGGGCTTTCCTCACTAAACTCCGTCGCCATGGGAGCCTGGCTTCAAGGCACCTGTGAGAAGAAGCCACGCTGAGTGGCAGTGCTGCGATCATTGCCGCCTTCTGCTTCTGATACTTTTTGATATCCATATGGAGTAAGTACATGGAATTGGAACAGTTGAAGTTGTAAGAGGCGGTCAAGTGGCGCTGGCCGGTTGACCGTCTGGAACAAAGAGCCCGAACCTTGGAATTCCATAGCCGCTGATCAGCCTTGCGAAAGGAGAGCGTGGCTTCCAATTGTCAGTATCTGCGGGTAGATGGTAGGACCACACTAACACCTGTTTTGACGCGGAGTAATCTAATGTTCTTCTTTTCCTTCTTCCTCTTCTTCTTCTTCTTCTTCTTCTTCTCCTTTTTCTCTCTCTTACAACTTTGCGACCCGTCATTGTGCAGCTAAAATGCACCTGCATGGAGTCGGGCGAGTGCGGAGACCAGAGTGAAATAAGGTTAAAATCTAGGCGAGTGATTGGGCCAATTAGTGGGATATCTCGGCGTAATTACTCCCGCATCTACGGAGCACCACATCTTGAAATCAACTGCGTCATCTCAGGGTTTCATCGAAAGACACAAAGTACCTAGGTATCTACCTAACAAAATAGCCGCTTCGTCGTCTTTGTCTTCAATCATTTCTATAATAGATCAAATCGATAGGTTTCCAAGCGAAATGGCATATCTAAATTTATGTCATAGACTCTTCCACATCACTTATCGCCCGCCAATCGTGATCCGAGTGCAGTCACATGAATGACGCATTTCTTTCAACCAAGCCTAAAAATTGATTAGACGCCAACCATCTTGGCTTAATTATGACCAATCATCTCATCTACCCGGCATACCATCATGCATCTCTGTGACAACATGTTGCGAGGTAAGAGTATGAGTGCTTTGGCAGCGTATTCACACCTTTTGCTTGTTAGTTTACCTCATCGGACTATTATGGCCAAAAGAACAAATATCTATTGTTTTTATCCTGATTTTTCTTTTATCTTCGCCTCCAGCCTCCAAATTGGCTATCCAGCACCTCGGTGACTACGTGAAGTTCAAGTGTCGGAACAGGATGCGAAGAAAAATGTTTTTATTTGCCGGTATTAACGGTAGTTACTTTGATGCCTGGTTTTTTGCACATCTGCTACTATCGCTATGTTCCTTCAGTATCTGTTACTGTAGTTACATTCTTCTACTCTCTGTCACCATGGCTATTCCCCTCTAGGATCTGCTACTCTCTCCTAATACCTGGTATCATCACACCCAGGTACTAGATAAGTAGCTTTAAATTTGAGACACAGGTTGCTGGATAGCCAACTTGGGGCGCTGAATAGCCACTATCTACATATAATCATGCCAATTGCCACTTGAACTACCAAAGCTAATCTCTTCTTACGTTTATGTTAACGTAAAGATGAAAAAGACTTTCCGTTGCAAATCTTCCCATTGACCAGATATGACAGCTCGCCTGGCTGTCAATAACATTAATTCACCATACTTTGACAAGACGCCTATTTAATACGGCGTGAAGTCTAAGGGTACTATTTATAAGTTATTGCGTGCCCATTCCCAGGCATTCAGGGTCTTCATTTCCTTTATGAGTGTCTTCTCGTACCTCATTCAGGGCTCAAACAAGAAGCTCTTGAGGATACGTATTTCAGGGCATCGTTCATTAGTCCTCGTAAGACGAGATGGAATAAGAACGTGTGAAGGGATCTCCCAACATTTGAACAAGTGAGTTTTATTATATGTGACAGTTTTTTCTTTTCTTTTGGCATTAATATCAGTGCTTCGCATCCAAAATCGAGACAGGGATTAGGGATATGGACGATATGTTTGGATGGGAGGGTAGTCAAAAGGTCATGGGCCCAAGAGCTGCAGTGGTGAAACAGTTGTTTTTACGCCTGAACCCACACATTATACTGGCTGGCGATGCAGCGCTATTTCATTTCTCTATAAGATGAAAATTTTGGAAAAAATATACGCCACATTTTGTTTGCATTGTGAGGCTGGAGAGAAAACAGCCCAAAGAATTCTCTGGGTGCCTAGGGCAGTTGGGCTGAAAAGCTGATGAAGAAGTTTGGAGAGGATGTATTTCGAAGGCGAGTTT